CCATTGGGGGGAGATGGGCGGTTGAAAAATTTAATAAATAAATAAATAAATAAAAATAAATAAATAAATATTGACCAAACAGGTAATATCCCTGAGGACTGGAGAAAGGCAATAATGGTCCTTATTTACAAGAAAGGTGCGAAAGGACACCCAACTAACTGTAGGTCTATTAGCCTATTGAGTGTAATAGGCAAACTCTGTGCTAGGCATTTGAAGCAGAAGTAACAGGACTGGCTGGATTCCAAGTAGGCTGTTCCACAGTAGATGAAATATTTGTGCTATACTAGCTCTCTCTTATATGTGGCTTTCTTTTACCTTAAGTCAGCATTTGATTTGATATGTCGAACCCTGTTATGGGAAAAGCTTTGAAATACCAACATCAACAGACTGTTATTTCTCATTCAGAAGCTACATACTAAAACCTTGCTATAAGTAAGATGTAACCCTCGAGGAGCTCTCACAAGGAATATACATACTTCCAAAGGTGTGAGACAAAGATGTATTTTAGCACTCACACTATTCAATTTTTATATCAATGATATGGCAAAAGTCTCAAATGCCTGTGTTGTCCACGCTCCCCAAATTTCTGGATATTGGATTCCATACTTCTGTATGATGGCAACACTGTGGTCATCTCCTATTCTCAAATTGGACTCAGAAAAGCACTGAATGCTATTACGCATGTCTGTGATGTTGACAAATTAAATGCTATCAAAAGTCCAAAATAATGGTTTCTGACCATAAGGTTAAAGAGCACAGGTGGATGGTAGGGGGAACTAGCATAGAGCAAGTGTCCTCCTTCAGATACCTTGGGACAATATTCCAAACTTCAGGATTCTAGAAAGCCCATGATGAACATATAAATGAAACAACAGCTAGATCCTTGATGGCCATTAGGAGATTCTTCAATGCCAGAGGAAGAGAGTATGTTCCTGCAGTCCTTAAACTATTTGAGGCCAAAACATTGGCTGGGACCTTGTATGCATCACAGGTTGGCCTGTTTGTTAAAAACAACTCCACAGAGGTTATACAAACTAAATTTCTGAGGTCAGTACTTGCCACACCAAAAAGCATCTCTAAAGCAGCCCTCAAACATGAAGTAGGGATGCCCAAAATTGAACATAAGGCTTGGAGGGCACTTTTTTGGTTTACTGGTTGAAACTTCTGTTTTTCCTAGTAGGCCTGGCACTACTGACCCTAAGAAATGACTCTGCTTTTCCATAGGGTTTGACCGTAGAAAATAAATTAGCCACCATTGGCCTATCTAAAGAACAGCTACTCTCTGTTGGCTACAACCAAGTCAAAATGAAGTATATCAAAGGCTGAAGATGCAGAATTACAAACCGAAATTAGCTCTCTAACACAGCTCCAGAATGCTCATCACCATGAACGTCTGCAAACCTGCAAACTATCTGAGCATATTAACTCTTCCCAGCCTAAGGAAAAAATTCTTCAGAGCTAGACGTAATGTATTACTTCTCCCTTTCTCTATGGCAGATACAGTATAATGTCTATAAAGGAAAGACTGTGTCCATGCAGTTCTGGAGAAGTAGAAACAGTCAAGCATGTCTTCCTCTATTGCAATTACTAGAGGGATCTCCGAAAGTACCATATAACATCAAACCCCCATCAGTCCTGCTGTAAAACAGATGAGGTTTATACTAAGCTATTATTATCAGACACCAACCAAGATGTAATAAGGAGAGTTGCCACCTATTGCTGGGCAGCAGTGAAGACATGACCGCCTGAAATAATTTTAGTTTTGTTCTATAATTTATATTTTATTTTTTATTTTTATTTTGTAATAAAAGGATTTGATTTGATTTTGATTTCACATATACTTAATCACTAAGACAATGCTTTATCAATTCTATCTTAACTAAGTAAAGCATGTTAATTTATCTAATTTATCTCTGGCATAGGTTTGATAAGGAGAAACAGAGCTAAATGGCATCAATATTCAAGTGTCTCTAAACACTATTGCCTATGAATGCCAGTTAGTTTCTTCTGAACTTTAAAACCATAAGCTTGACTGATATCCTATCTTTTAGATTATGGGATCATCTTATAGTTCAGTAATAAAACCTGTGTTTGCATTGTCGTGCTTAATTTTATATCAGTGTGGAACTTAATAAGGAGCTTGTGGGTTATTTTGTTGGCTTCCAACTTACTACATCTGCTTAAGAGCTAAAGTGTGTATTATTATTCAACATTTGGTGAATAACTTGTTTTCTTCTCATAGAACTAAATGCCAATGTAGAAATACACTTCTATATGGTCTTCATTTGTTTGTTTAATGTATTTTGCTTTTAACTCAATAATGAGATTATAATAAATCTATAAAAAAACAGACTACACAATATGCACACAGATATTAGGATAAGAAATAAACATTAATTACCAAAAGCTTGGTAAAACAAGCAGTTTTTTACTAACCATGTAAAAGCCTATAATGAGAGAATTTAGTTGTATTAGGCCTGGATTGGTGTTGCTACTCTCATAAAATACAAATAAATAAATAAATAAAATGCAAAACTACAGTTATTAGAATATATTTCTAATGAGTTTTTCCAAGTTATTTTACTAATTGTGGAAATGAGACAGGTTAATTAGTGACTTCATGTCTTAACAAATGGAACTTTAGCCCCCCTCTAAATTTCTGCTACATCTTCTATTGTCTGAATATTACCTAATCATTCCAGTGGCATTTATCTAAAAACTAAGCTAGATGTGTCATTCATCTCCTATGTTAGGATTTATTAATTTAAATTGTATAAAAATGAATTATTGAGGAATTACTCATTTTAAAAATGTAGGAAGTGGTCAGTGTGGAAATCTGGAATATATTCAGATTTGGTTCTTCTCTCTCCCTCTGTCTCTCTCATGAAAAGTTTTTTCATGTGCAATTCTGTGTTTCTTTTGCCTCATCTTTTAGGGAATTAGAGAGCTTAACATCTCTGCTGCTTCCTGTTTTGCTGTGACAATTCCTCCTTGTACTTACAAACAGAACTCAGCTTTGCATCCCATCCCATCCTGTTGATTTCTCTTTGGTTACATGGTAAGCGTATTTGCTGTGTATACGGCTGGAGGGTAAAGTCTTCACCATCATCATTATCACCGTC